TATATATATATATATATACGGTTCAAAAATGTTTGTGTAAAAGAAATATGAAACAGAATTTCAACGAAACAAAATTTTATATCATAGAAATTTTAGTGAATAAATTTCAATTTATGCTTAGAAAGATTTTTATAAAAAAATAAATTTTATTTTACATTGGACAGATTTTGTTCCATGAATTTAATTTTAAAGATTTTACTAATAAAATAAATTTTACTTTATGCTGAAAATTTTTGTTTAATTAAATATGCTTTTACAATTTAAAGATTTTTTAAAATATTATTTATGTATTCGTATTTATTGAATCAAATTTTACTTTTCTAATAAAATTCAAATATTTAATATATTAAATTGAATCCTATCGATCTGACCCTACTTGAATTATAATATTTGTTATTATTTGCGGTTTCAAATATCAATAAGGGGAACTTGAAATCCATTTTCGTAGATATGAGGGTTTTACTTTATATATATATGTGTATATATGTATATATATGATGTTTTCATTTATTTTTGAATATCCATATGAATACTTTTCATTCAATTTTTTTTTATAAAAATTTTTTGAAATTTACAAAAAGATACTACTTTTTGATCTCTCTATTATGAAGTTTTTATCTGGATCATTTATTAAGAAGTTATTAATGTATAATAATATAAAAAATATCTAAATCCAAACTTAAATCCAATAAACTATGAAATCAAAAATTAAATCATCTTTGTTTGATATCAAATAATTTATATTAATTAAAAAATTAAATAAAAACTTAGTTAATTGATTTAATGGTTTTCATTGGGTTTGAACTAATTTTTTTAATTTGGTAGTCAAGAAGTGGTCAGCTCTCAATTATCTGTAAGAATAATGTTGAAACTTATTTAACTTAACCTAATCTAATTTAAATTATTTCAAACAAAATTTTTTGTTAATAATTTTTGAATGAATATAACAAGTAAAATCTTCACAACACTATTCAATATGATCTTCATAATATATTAATCATCAATTTTATCAATCATCAAGAAGGTGATACTTTTCTATAAATAATTATCCAATCTTCATACATCAATAAATGACAAATTCAATTATTTTTGACATTTTCAAATCACTTTTATGTTAACTATTGATAGAAATAATTTGCTATATTTTATATTAAAGGAAAATCATAGACGCACAAAGCAGATTTTGTTTCGCAATGCTTTAATTGTTGAAGATGGGTCGAGCGTCTCGGCGAATAACTTTCGCCGATATTCATATCCACTTTGTGCGATAATTATATAGCGAAAACGTGATTACAGTAAAATCTGCAACACCATCGATGGGGAAAATTTTGCTCGAGTAATGTTCTTGTCAATTCACACCACCCACGACGTGAATGCGCACCTCCATGCCATCTTTGTTCTCTGTGTATGTATGTGTGTCCACTTGAAAAGCATGACGATAGAGAGATTGCGTGACACATATTGTAAACGTTCGTGGAGCTTGAACTTATAGACACATCGACAGAGTGACGCTTGACATGTAATTTCCTAGAAACTCTCACGTACTTGACTATATCAATAGTGAACACCTCGCACGTGTCTGCAGAGTATGTTTGAGCACTTTTGAAAAAACTATTAGAAAAAAAAGTAAGAACTCTAAATATGGTGCAAAATCTGTAATAAAAGAAAATTCTTTTAAATAGAAATAAGATGATAAAAATGAAATTTTTCTAAATGCCTCACTAAATAATATTTTTTAAAAAGCAAACAAGTAGTGTAATGTGATAAAAAATTATACAAGTTTACTAATTTAATTTTTGAAGAATAATCACTTGCATAATTTAATGTGACAATGAATGATCGTCTTAAGAAATCTTAAGAAATGATTATCCAAAAGAGATTATCAATCAACTTGTATCGATCTTTAAAATTATTAATTATTGTAAACTGCTTCTTTAACAATTATCGATTTAATATTACATATTACTAATTATTTGCGATTTAATTAAAATTATATATAATAATTTTGTAATGGACACGGGACAGGTGCGCTGCGGTGACTTGTTAATTAAACAATATACGCACTCTTGATGTAGCTCTTGTTCACAGCTTCTTGCCTCTTATGCCCATCTCGGTAACCAGTTTAACAAGCTGTAGCCTAGTCGAGCTTCCTGAATTTACATCTTCGCATGAGTCTGCTTCCGTCCTATTCCTGGTTTAATTAATGGTGATAGAAATAGAGCAAACCAGTTTTCCAGTGTTTTCCAGTATTTTTGAATTAAAATTTTTCTTTGCAATAATCCTCTTTTTTTCTGTAAGATAAGAAAAATTAAAGAAATTTACATACTTTTGTTTCTTTTGATAAAATCTTTGAATTTAATATCTTTCGAAAATAATTTTACAATTTTTCACATTAATTTCAAAAGTTAATACATTCGAGACAAATGTACATCATCTCTTATTCTATATAACGCATATAGTGGTCATGAATTTTACTAAAATGAAAAAAGATTAAAAAAAATTTTTCATACATACAGCTTTTTTTGGAAATATTACGTTCAGTACAAATATTTTCAATATGTATAGTTTCAAAAAATTAAATTTGTTATAAACCAAGGCCACAAAAGCAAATGGATACATATCAAAGAAATATGATCATAGGAGTATTAGATGCGCGGACGAACTTGATGCGAAATCAAAGAGCTTCTTGGATCGTGTCAAGTGTGAACGAATATGATGCAACATCAGTGGACTTTTGAAAGATTAAGATTTTGTGAATGCATGTGATATAAAATCAAACAATCACCGTAGGAAAATATAAATCTTGTTAAAATGTTGTTAAGAAGTTTGAATACATAGCAACAAATGAACTTGACCTAGTGAAGAAGTTACAGAATTTATAGACGAACTTGATATAAAAATGAAAAATCAAAAATTACAACAAATATTTTTGATTAAATGATATTAAACATAATACGATGATCGAAAAATTGCAAGAAATTTTATTAGATTTTGTAATTTTTTATCAGAAAAATATTATTTTGTCTGTATTTATATATTCGTATTGTATATTTATAAGCTTTTAGAGAATGCATTACTGGAAAGTCTTAATATCTTTCTCATAGAATCAATGGTAATTTATAGAATATAATAGGAATACTTACATATAATTGATAATTTATAAGCATTCTACTATAATTTATATTTATAAAAAATACAATGATAATTGTATTTATTAAACAATTATTTGTTGTTTGTATTTATTGTCTTGCGCTGAAAATGTATATCTTATTTACTAATTTTCATATACAACTATATAAATACAATCCACATTAAATACGAATAGTAATGTTGAATCAGATGTTGATAATAAATTTCAAATAATTACATAATTAAATTTAATTGAGAAAAGGAATTGCTATTATATCTACAAATAAACTCAGATTACAAATAAACTTTAACAAATTAAAAAAAACAATTAAAAAAATAATAGAATTTGTCAAACGTTAACATATTGTTAAATCTCAGTACTTTACTTACGAATTATGCATGTAGGAATTTTGTGTTGGAAGAAACTTTTAAACGATTAGTCCAAAGGGATTTCAGTTTCCGTACTATTCGATATTACTCTCTTTGGCACCGTCTTCTGAATGATTAATGACTTGGCAGAAACTGCTGCTATAGTTTATTGGAAGCAGTCCATCGATGATGTATACCGCGATGTTATACGAGCACGGTAGGCCTTGTTTGTTTCATGGGTTAATAGAACGACCAATAAGATAACGGCTGCCATTGACACGTTATACACGTTCATGTAGCGGAACGATGCACACGAGAATCATGTGTAAAATATTTACAGTTATAGGATTTGCTATGATCATGTCACTGCAACCAATTCTGTGACATGTATCATACATGCAGCTGCAAAGTTACATTGTGCATGCACCTTGTCATAATCGAAATATATATTTATGAAATTCGTTTATAATCTTTCTACATAAAATGACAGATGACATAAATGATACATATTATGTACATTTACGTGTTCAAAATGATAGATTTAAAAGAGATTTATTAAATTTGATTTAACAAAAACTTATAAATGTATTTCATCTCAAAAAAAAATTTGAGAACGATTTAATTTATGAGGTTATAATCGCATTTTACCTTGACTACATCAACTTGTCGTAATTTGAAGCACGATCTCTCGTTTCAATCGTATTTTCCTTCTTCCTAATTTTTTTCCATTTTCAAGGGTTCATTAATTATAATACTCAGTGCGATATGAAGGATTTATTGTTCCTCTCGCCACTCATGATTCAACCTCTTCATTGGTCCACTTGCGGTTTACCAGACTATAGAATTTCTTCCTTCGTAACTTTCGTATTATTTCCCTATGGTAATTATCGTTTCCGTTTTGCGCAAGTGCGCACATTTTTTTTTCGTATTACAAACTGTAACTTAATGCTATTGTTACAATAATAATTAATAATTTGTGTTAAGATGGAAAAGTTCGTTTACTAAATGAATTTAAATTTAATTTCTTTTTAAAGTTATTCTATCGATTCGTTAATTAAAATTTATTTATTTATTAAAATAATTTAGAAGCGAGACAAAGAATCGTATAATATCAATTCAATTTATATTATTTAATATTTCATATATCTTAAATTAGAAATTTCATTATAATTATACTTCATTTGTGGATTATATGGAATATTTATTTGAATTTATGCACTTATCGATAAATAATTGAGAATAATTATACACACTAATATTACAATGTTGTACATTTATGGTTACAACGTTTTAATATTATTCACAATGATTTTCACGTTAAACAATGGATATCTGTAATCATTCGTAATTCATCGATAAATGGCAAAATTGAAATATGGAATATTCTATATCCCACAGGTCGGCATTAATATTACTATTATTATTAATACGAGAAAAATTGTATTAAAATTTTATACGAATATATAATATAAATCTAAAAATTAATTTTAAGAAAGAAAATCCCAAGATTTAAAGATACGATATATATTTTTTTTCACTCATATCTAAAATTCAAGGAATACTTATTTTAAATAGACATAGATTAAGATAAAAAATATAAATCGTTTTAATCGTGGATAAAATTAAATCTAAACTATCTTGAATTTGAAAATAAACAAGAAAGAACAATTCCAAACAATGAAATAAATTCGCCAATATTGTTTTAATTAAATTTTTATTTAGAAAGTACAAAATAAAATAACCTACAAATCTGATAAATATCTAAAAAGTAGGCAAAAAAATTTTATGGAAACAATTAGGAAACCTCATAAAAAAAAATTTTCAGGAAACTTGTCAAAAGATTGTTAAAACTGGGTGCACCATTTTTACCGAAATAGCAAAGGGGTTATTTCTATTTTAAAAACGAGATGTCTTTTGATTAAAAATTTTTAATTAAAAACTTACGCTAGATTTATTAGTTCTCTGATATATTTATACTCTGTCAAATATGAAAATGCACAAAGGACATTATCGTTTATTTCTTTTCCTCGCGTGACACGAATGAAAAATTGTACCCCGTATAATTTTTTATTTATAATACAACAGAAAAATTATGCATAAATTTGCAAGATTCAAAGAGTTTGGACTCAACGAAATTTTAACTGGCTAAAAATTATCTTATATTAATTAATTTTTGCGATTCTTTAATGTAAAAATGATTCTTACCCTCTCGTCCCTTGTCTTTTTTTTTTATTATAAATTCTTCAAGGATATATCGACATCAAAGAGAAAAAAAGAAAGAAAGATTCGTGCGTAAACAACGGTATCATTCCCATCAAACACGATCAATTAGGAAAAGCATTCGTCTTTCGGCGATATAGTCGGGACCAACTAATTAATCCGCAGCATGATTGCAAGTAAATCGAATCCAGTGTAGTGGAAAGTGGCGAAGGATCCAGGGGAAGGACATGGATGGATGGTATGGAGTATGTTAAAGGAAGGCGGAGGGTTCGGTACGGTGGTTCAGTTAAATATGCAAATCGAGTTGCACTTATGTCTCGGCTCGCAGAAGCTACTAGGGGAGCGATTGCCACAGGGGTGTAAACACAGGACTCCGTATCCCCTCGAACCTGTCGGCAGCGGTACACTGAAGTGCTCCCTGACCCGGTATGCTCTTTCTAATGTTTGTTCAATCGAATCCTATCCGTTGAACCACCGATTTCCTCCATTGGCTTCATCCTGTAATTTTCGTCTCATTGATCCTCCGCCAATTTCTCAAATTCTTCCTCATCTCTTTTTTGAAGTTGTTAATAAAAATTAATAATAATACATTGATATATTTTGAAATTCGTTTCTGCAATTCTTCGTTTCTTTTTAAAACTATTATTAATCAAGCATTATTTATTTCGATTGGAATTTTTTAAATTGTTCTGTTCTTTTTCCAAATATCAAATCGATCAAACGTTGACATAAGTATTTCCGTTCGTTTCTGAAATTTTCCAATCCTTTTTCCAAGTTTCATCAATCGAGTATCGATATATTTAGTTTTCCATTTTTATTTCGAAATATATATCGTTAATCGAACGTTATGTTTATTATATAGATATTTCGATTCGTTTCTAAAATTCTTCTCTTTTTTTTCGAAGTATTATCGATCGAGTATTAATATATATCGATTCGTTTCTCAAATTCTTCGCGAGTACCCAAATATCGATTACATATCGATATATTTCGTTTCGAGCGTGGAGTGTAAGATTTGCTGTTTGCAATGGTGGCGCATATGTACAGTTTTATCGCACGTGGTCAATTGCCTCGAAAATTTCGCGTCGCGATAGATAACAAAAAAAATTAAATAACGACATGCAGTTATAAATGCAGTTATCAATTTTCGGTAAACGTTGTATTCTTCTGGATTTATATTTATTTTAACGTGATGCAAATATTAAATGTCAATAAACGCTTCGAATTAAATCGAAATCGTTATAGAACCGTTGTGAAAAGATATTTATTAAATTTTTTGTTAATTTTTTATTTCTATCTTATTTAATAACACCTATATAAAACCAATCTAATCAAATATAGAACTGTGCGATCTATTTACCGTTATAACTTGTGATACGAGGAAAACAACAATCCTTTCTTTGTCTTATTCCACGCATGACTATTTTAGCGGCAACGAGGTCTATGAAAGGTGTAAGTAAAATGATAAGTACATCCTTCAACAGAGTTTCCTCATTAAGCTCATTAGCCGCCGCTCTATTTCATTAGTAAACAAGAAAGCATGGTCAAAGAAAATTATGATTATCGCACGTTTTGTCCTGAGATATAATTTCTCTCTAAAATATTCTCCTCTTTATTTGTTTTTCAATTCCATAATCAATTTATCCATAATCAATCGAACTGATTCTAACTTTTTAACGGTGTTAAGCACGACTTTGATCCCAGATTAATTCTGCGCTAATATTAAAATAATAGAATCGAAAATATCGCTTGAGAAGAAAAAAGAAAATTCGATTTTTTTTTTTTGCGTGTCTGAAATGTATTTTTTTGCGAAAAATATTTAATCAAGGATAAATTTAGTTTCAGAATAGAAAACATTTTTCTGATATTTAGAAAATGAGACTAAGATGTAAAACGGGATATAAATTTATAAATTTGACAAGAAAAATATCTTGTAAATTATTAATAATATAATTTACATCAAAATTGTGGACACCTGGTACGTCTATTTGTAAATATAAAATGTAATTTGCATTTAAATATGTAAAAGATTACACGATAATAGGTCAACATCTGTTGCTACGTGTAAAGCGTTTGCGTGCCAAATAGTCGCCTGTTCATTTCCACAAATGGGCTATGAACATTCAAATGAATATGTAGGGAGCAATAAATGCCAGGTAAGAGAAATAAAAATGAATTTATAGGATGGAATTGACGGGAAGAATTGTTTTAAACCGCTGTTGTTCTTTAGATGTTGCAATAGCGACCAAGAATATCTCAGAAGATGGATTTTTCTCAGCGTGTACCAAGAAAGCAAGGTGAATTAAGATCGAAGGCTGAGGAGATTAGAAAACTGCCAGAAGCAAGCCTGGACCATTTGTCAAATGCTCGCAAATTCGATTTGAACGACGCAAACACGATCTTAAGTGGGGTCGAAGTTTCATGTTGTCGAGAATACTGCTCGCGAAGAAGGGAACAAGTTTAATGTGTTTTAAAAAATTACTTTTCTCCAGGAGCTGAAAAAAATATAACCAAATTATAAACTATTTGCAAACTCTTAAATATATCAAATATACTTACATCGATCAAGCATATAATCTTTCACAATATTCTGCAACAAAACATTCTATTTTTAACGTTAATATTGCAATTGCTATAGATTAAACCTTGATATTTTTTTGCAATGTTTTATTTAATTTTTTAATCTGTCTTTTTAATCCGTACATGATACTATTTATGAGAAATTTTCTTATGTTCAATCGTAGATACAACAATTATAGATTGCAACAAAAATATAAATTTTCTGCAGAAAAAAAAAGTGATGTTAATGTTGATATTACTGAAAGTATACTATTGGTCACTTGTTGCTCACCAATTTTTGAAAATAGAAGTGAACTTTGAGCTCTTCACGTATTATTTTGTTTCATATTGTTCAAATGTGCAAGTGTATGATGAATTAAAAATAGAAAACATTCTATTTCTGAAATATATGGACTTTCGATTGTAAATTTTCGATCGCAAAGGCCTGAAGGAGTTTACATTACAGCAAGCATTTCCTTTCGACGCCTCGTCGATATAGTTGCACTTTCCTTTCTGAAACTCATATCAGTCTCATGCATATAACGTGTGTTCCACGAGGCACTGGTTGAGTAAACACCATGGAAGGTTGAATGCCGTGATTTCCAGTCAAGGATTCTTGGAAAATGTCGGGAATTCAGAGATCCACGATGCAAAGCTGCTATTTCTTCTCGAGAAAAGATAGATATGAAACATGACATTCAATTACGTTTAGTTTCTATTGCGTTTCGTGGTTCTCTAAACTTTCTTCTTTTCTTCCAATGTGTTGCAACTCCATGCTTTTCTTTCGAGAAGATAAAATTTAACTTGAAATTTATTTTTAACTTTGAATGTAATCTGAAAAAAAAAATAATTTCAACGATAATTGTCTTGATCGTCGAATTATTAATTACTGATCTTTTTCTGAAGAAAATATTTTTTTGAATGTACAATTTGCAATATTTTAATCGAAAACATTGTAAAAAAGTGATCCAAGAATGGTTTATATGCGTTTCAATAGTAACGAGATTGATAAGGTTGAATGCACATGTGCACTTTGGAATGTAAATGAATTAAATGAACCATGATTGTTTTAACAAATTATCGGCTCGTTTGGAAATTAATTTTCAAAATATCATTTAATACAATTCATTGATTCGAAGAATCAATATGCGCGCATCCCAATTAATGAATTTCGATTCACAAATTCGACAGACTTTTCGCCAATTTGTTTTTCACGACATGAAGGGAACTTATTCGAAACTGTAAGTCGTGAAATAAAATAATTGCAAATATAATTAAACATTTCAATCAGTTGAATAATTATAATATTTAATATTTTCGAGCATCGTTTTATCAAATTTTTAAATATATTTTAAAAATTTGACGAATCTCTCCAATAAATCATTTATATTATAAAATATATTATGATATATATAATTTATATATTACGATATATTACGATGGAAATATAACACGTGTAACGTAATCAGCTTCATTTATATTTTGATAGATTATTCGAATTAGACGATATCATGGAAGGAACATGATATTGCGTGTATAATATAGACATAAAATTTGCAATTTTGATGAAAAAATTAAAAATTAAAAATTGCATAAATTGACAAGTTGAAAAATGGAAAAAAGATGTTAAATTATTATCAATACCTTTTTATCCAATTAATCGATGACGTTTGTTAATAATGCGTTATATATTTCGTTGCAATAAAATCGCATTTGCCCGGCGGAATTAAATCGATTTATGAGAGAAAATCCGTTTCAAATGTCTCTGGTACATAGCACTCGGTCTCCTTATTATTTATGGGATTGCATTACACTGTATCACTGTCTCAATAATTAATAGCTGTGTCCCCATTTTGATGTTACCTTCCCGCAAAATATTAAATCCACTCAATGTGAAAGTAACTGCGTCGATTTACTTTGATCGATTCTTATTTATACACTCTGTAAATATGTACCTAACCAACTTCTTCTGTCAAGAATACACGCTCAAAGGATTAAATTATTGTAAACATCGTTTGTATCATATATAGTAATCAATAAAAATCAAATTTGATTTTCCCAAATTATTTATATATTCACTCTATATAAGGCTCTCTGATTAGATCATTATAAAATTTCTTCATTGTTTGTGCTATATATATGTTCTAAAAATATGAGAATATTCGTTAACTGGAGATAGCCAATCACGAAGCACATAGCCTAGTTGAGACGGTATCATTGGCTATGGTTGATCTAGCACGAATAAGTCCAAGCAACGTATATTGAAAAAAAGAATATTGAATATAATAAATATTTTTTTATCGATAAAAAATTATATCGAATTATATCACGAACAATGAATAAATTATAATATTCAACGCATTTTTTCGACGTATATTATTTAGATTTATTCGTGTTCATCAAAGCTATCATTGCAGTTCAACTAGGCTATACATTCTATGATTGGTCAGTGTTTTTTGTTAATAACTCATTAATAAAGCCGTAACGAAAAGGAAAATATCGTTTGCAGGAAAAATATCGTTTGAAAATATCTTAAGAATCTTCAGTTAAGAAATATATTTATTTTTGGACATCCTATATAAAGAGAAAAATTTAGTTTGATTTCCTTAAATTATTTATATATTCATTGTATATAAATATGTTCGTAATCACCTTTCTGTATTAAGAATACACGCTCGAAGGATTAAATCTCTATAGATTTTTCTTCATTGTTTGTGCAGGTATATAAAATAGTTAGATTTCGTTTTTTTATGTATAAATATAAGAAAAAAAAATAAATATAATAAAAATAAAATATTCAAAAAATAGGATCATTATAAAGCTTTTTCATCATTTATATTATATATTAATATGTACAGCAAAATAATATTAATCTTCTCTATTACAGAATTAATCGAATTTTATTTAAAATTTATCGAAAGTTTATTTAATGATTTTTGTCGAAAGTTTGGAAAATTAATTATTATCAAAATTTTATCTGATAAAAATCCTTTTTCAGAAAATTTTATTTACTTCTGTTCTGTGGAGATACAGATTAATGGAACCGCAGCTAAAATTTACTTTAGAATGTATGTAACCAGGTGTCCTATAAGCGCAAGCACTGAAACCAAATTAATGTAACGAAATATCTAATATACGTTCCACGGTTGGCTAACTGGCTACCCTAAAATTGTGTTTTAGATATTTGGTCAGAAGCCAAGAATCACAGCTACACAGGTATTGCATAATTTACACTTTGTACGACAAGATTTGTAACAAACAATTCCAAAAAAAATTCTCTTTTCTTTTTTTAAATTTTTTTTTTAATTTTTGTAATTCATATTTGATAACAGGATAACAAAATTCAACAATTGAATCTTTTAAAATACGAATATTTATTATCGATTAATTAAAAAATTAATAGAAAAAACGCGAATTTTCGAGTTTTCTCGAGCAACGTTTAATAAATCGTTGATCCTTGATGGATTTATCTTCGAATCGATCTGAAACATAGCCTCATTCCTTTCACTGATTACACAGAACCGCTGTTCTCCCCTCAGCAACGTCCAGGTCAAAGTCCTTCAACCAATTTGCTCTCTTCCTGGCAAAAACTCGTCTCTTCCTCTTCAATTCCCTCTAAACAGCGAGAAGAAATTCCTTTGTTGCGACATTCACCTACTCTCTCGCACTTCCTTCGACTCGACCTCTTCTTTGTCCCCGACTATTGTTTTCTCCATCTCTCCGTCGTTCTTTTTTCCCTCTCTCTTACTTTATTTTTTTTTCTTTTCATTTTTAACCCGATGCAGTATTTGACTTTTCTTTTTTTGTCCAGACAGAACCGGTAAACGCGCGCTTTTAATTAAATAACGCGACCCAGCAACGTGTGCAAAATACCAGCGATTTCTACTCTTATCCTTATTTTATCCCCGCATTTCTACTACTTTTGCCTCTTTCGTTCGGTGGAAATTGTAATTAGTTCCTATTAAATTTCGGTATGCAATGGTCGCAACAATGGGAAAAGGAGAATACAGAGATAAGAATCTTCTCGATTATTCATACTTTTATTTTTTACTTAGATCTTTTTTCGCTTTAGAATTTTGGTTTGATACACAATAAATATGAAATTATCAAAATGATCAGAAATAGTTCCAATTCACGAGGTATTTTTTTTATTTCTTTAATCATCAGAGTTTCCAATTTTTTTTTTCCTATTTTGTGCACACCTATTCCTTATGAAATTAGATATCAAATTATGCAGTATGATCATTGCAGAGGGAAAAAAAAGAAAAAGAAACTCTATTGGAAATTGAATTTAATTTTTCACACAAGGAATCTCTCTAATACCTTCATTTTACAGGAATTTGGAAGCTTAGTATAAAGATTTTTGAACTGCTTTGCAAAGAGTTCTGCGAATGTTGCAACTCGTCGATTTCGAGGAGAAACATTTCCATCCTCGCTTTGTCTCGAAAAGTCTCGACATCTTCAAGATAGATATGTACACGATTGGGCTGAAGTTTATAGTCGACGTAAAAGTCAACTTTGCAATAGTTGCAAACGTGCAAGTAGGAATTCTCTCAGCATCGAGATTTTCCTGTCACTGTCGGTTGTAGTTTGCGCCACTTTGAACGCGATTTCTCAGTTAAAGAGACACATCTGATGTTGCCTATCTTGCGGAGATAGTTGCACGCTTCCCAAGTTTAAGTCTCGTTCAGCCTTTAGGGAGGCTTCGAGGAATCAAAAGATCATATTTCGTCATCAATTTTTTTTTTTTCACGACACATTACATCTCTTCTCCACTATTTCTTTTTCTGCCACTGTTTTTAAAGCATCTTAAAAAGAAAATAAAAAAAAAATGTAAAGTACAATGAAAATCTATCTCATAAAGTTTTCTTTCGTCTTCAAAAGTTCCAAGTTCCTCTAAATGTATTTCAAGTGAAATATTTAAACATTCTAAAATTCGCTTCTCTCGTGAAATTATCTTCGTTAATAAATTGCGTGAAATATGAATCGAAAATTATATGAATTGCGAATGATAATATATATATATATGTGTTATTTGATTAATTTATTAACATTTAAACAACAAAATATTGTATGAAAATATAATATATATAAATGTAATGTTGTCCAAACAAGATTTTTCATCAAGTTGTTTTATCAATTTTACAGAAACCAATTTAGAAGAGGAAATATCGAATGCCAATAAGATTTCCATGAAAAAAAAAACGAAAAATTCATTATCAGCTGTCACGAACAAATAAAATATTTTTATGACATTTAATGTGTGATATAAAAAAGAAAATGATAGATAGAGTTTTATCTTCTCGATATTTTTAATTATATTATAAATATTAACGCAAGCTGATTCGAGAAATTTGAAATGTTCGAAAAATGTTTAAAAAAATGAATCAGATTCGAAAAATATCACGGTAGATAATAATATTTTAAAAATAGGAAGAGGAATAACGTTTCAAGTAAGAATGAATCGTTCCGCTATCGTGTAAAAAAAAGTAAAGAAAATGGACAAATGGATTCCACGAGTTAAGCTTGTACGAAGAAACCATAACGAATGGAGATTGTCATCTTCAAAGAAATAATGTGGATCAGAATACGAAATTTTACTTCCATCCTTACTTATGGATTATCATTCTCTCAAAAATCTACTGAAAAATGAATTGTTACAGAAAATGTGTAATGGAAATGTGTAAAGTAAAGATCCATAAAGATATTTTTCATTTTTTTTTTTTTTTATTCATTTCATTTTGGGCAAAGTGATAGATCTTTAAATATTCAACACGAAGAGAGAAATCCAATGATTATCTTAAAAATTAAAGATATGTCATGCTCACTTAATTATAGTTAATCACATAGATAATTTCGTTAATTCTAAACTGGTACTCAGATTGAGAGATGATAAATAGAAATTTAGAAATGGAAATATCAATAGGATAGGCTTCCTCAATGATCTTAAGAAAATGATGTAATTGCAATGGAATAGATTTATTTGAGCGATACATTTTTCTTAAATAAAATATAATAAACAAGATTTCTGTTGTTCTTCACACAAAATCATTAACATATTTGCATTTATTCTTTATCGATGCTTCGAATAATACTTTGTACACAGTTTGATTATTTTGCATATAATGAAATCTATATTTTCATTAAAAACAGATATTTCATTGTCATCACTAATTTATCATTTGTAGAGTTTAGGTTGATATGGAATATATTTCTAAATCCATAATTCTGGAGACCAAAACGGATACAAAATTTCTATTGAAGTTTATATTATTAAATTACAAAATTTAAGTTTAGATGAAGCGTAGATGGGACAGAGACAGTATCTCCTCGTTTATTATTCACCCGATGATATTAAATTCTTGGAAACGACAAAACATCAAAAGCCTAGTAGGGAAGTTTTGTTGCAGAAACGCTTGCACATGACTGGAAGATCGTTAATGAGCGCGAATAGACTCCTAACGGCGTTAATTGTTGCCACAGGCCAAGACGGAAGTGCTTGTATTTACGTAAGTTCCTCCCGTTCAAAACATTGTCATAATCATGGCACAACTTTGAATAAAGTTGCCAACAGAATATAGTATATATATATTCGTGCACAAATGTTAATGACCATCAAGATTACTTGGCTACGCTGATAACTTGGGCCACGCAGTCTAATAATTACGGTTGTCAAGGTTAGAGATTTCGCTCTTCAAAGCTGAGACTTCCAGAGTTTCGGTTTCTTGGTAATTATTATAATTATCATAATTCAAAAATTGTGAAAGTATGTTTTATTTGGAAATAATTATTTCTTATTCGAAATTATTATTATTATCAGAGTTACTAAATACAATGAATTAAAGTAAAAAGGAATAATAAAAATTTATACGAGAATAAATTTTGAAAAAAAAAACGCAAAATACCAAACGCAAAAATTATTTATTAAGAAAGAGAAGGTTATTTTGCATGTATCGAAATAAGAATGTTTTGTGCTGAAAAATTTACAGCTGAAAACGATCTTTTAGGTTAGAATAACAAATTCAGAAGTTGAATGAATAATAATTATCAAAGGTGGGAGAAAAAACTTTGACGTTCTGTATCTATTAATAATTTTACCTTAGTTTCCGTAATTTTAACTTAACTCTTATGTTAATTTATGTTATTCAAATTTTTACGCTGCTCTTGACGTGCAGCCTTTTGACAGTGGGCTCAGCTGTCGGCGGCCTGTACTGAATTATTCATATTTCTGCATAATGAACTCTATTGGCGTTTTATAATAGGAACATAAAATTACACTCTTTTGGGGGAAATTTAATAAATTATTATTAAAATATATTATTATGAATTAAAAAGCGGCAAGTGCTAGGAGAAATTGTACAAAGAATTTCATTGCTCGATGAACAATGCACATGTTTCAATTCTGTTTTTTTATCGTTTTAATTATAATTCATATGTTAACAAGGATTTTTTTTTGACAATATCCCTATATTTTTATATTTTGATAGATCTTTTTTTACAAAAATTATCATTAGTAAAAAAAAATAAATAAAGTGTTTAATATATTTGTATCGAATAAAAAGAGATAAAAATTTACAATTTGAATGATAAATTGAATTTTGAAAAAAATGCAAAATTATTCCTTTCTGCGATAAATAAAAAAATCTTATCATTTTTAAAAACACCTTCTTCACAATCCTGCAACAATACCTTTTAAAATAGTAATGGGATACTAGAAAGCTCAATAGGAATAGAGCGCTAGGAATCTCGGTGCAATGAAAAATTAAGGAACAACTACAATGGAAGAAAATTGATTCCTCGATTTAAAAAGATCCACCGAGGACCTTGCGAAAGAAAGAAGAAAATGATGAAGAAAATGCAGGTTTCAGAAATGCTGCAAGTAATTTGAATATAATGCATCGAAAAAAAATACTTTTAAATTAATATTTAACAATTGTAATATTTAACCGTTGTGTATAATTAAAATGGAATATATGAATTTTTATCTTTTTAAATTAATCTTTTTATTCGAGAAAATGAAATTATCAACTTTTTTTAATCAACTTTGCATCGTCTTTCTAATTTTGATATATTGAAGTTTTAGTTAGATGAGATAGCTAAATGACATTGAAAAACAAGGAACTCATCAAATTTTTCTCCTCTTCAATTCTACGATAAAATATCAATAATCAAAAAAGGAATTTTCTTCAATATTAATAATATATAAGTATATATTAATTTTCAAAATTAAAATTATCACTATTGAAAATTTTGATATCGAAGTCTAAATCTTGTAACAAAAATCTTGGGCATTAACCTAATTTGAAAAAGTAACTAGTTAAAAATTTCGAATAAAGTTACTTACTTTAAGTAATTACTTAAATAACTTTATTTATAAAATGCTCGAATAATATAATTTATTCGTATCTATTAAAAAGTTGATCCATTCTTTATATAACCTCGATTATTTGCCACATAATTATGTGCGGTTATTTCATATTTCGAATAATAAATTATCGAAAAAAACTTATTCTTAACTTCGACTACTAAATTTTGCCTATCCATGGCCCACAATCCGTATTTTCGACAACAAGAGGGGGTGGAAAGTGGCGGAGAGGGTAGTCGAGCGAGGTCGAGGGGAAATCGTAACCCATAAAGCGTCGCTACTAGTCACAGCCGCGGCAGTAAGCGTCCTGGCGTCCGTCGAGAATGCGGTATGCGGTGTACCTCTGCGTCAAGATCGACACGTGGTTGTTCGAACGATATTCGATACCCAGTTGCGTGGTTAAATCGAACGATATTATAAATACGTCCATTTACTTTTCTTTAATATTTTTTTTTCTCTTTCGTAAAGTGACAAATTATACTATTTTTATTTAATTTGCAACGATGACTGTAAATTGATAAATATATGTACAATAATAGAATATAATCGAAGCAAGTGTTGTGTCTTCTTCTTTGGAAACGCATCTTTATGTTTTCGTTCTCTGTGATGTGAATTGCTTCGTGGGATTGGTTGTTTACGCGCGAAGATGATTGCGGTGATTTGTCACGAGTAAGTTTGTTCGCAAGAATTCTATCTGTGTAATTTTGTCGAATTTTGAGAAATTTCACTATTGATTTTGATCATCTTCCATTTTGTACAATAATAAATGATATTTTTTTAATCTTGAAGAAACATGGATTTGGATTAGGTTAAGCATTTTATTCTAGAATATAAATTTATTTGAATGATTGTATTTTCTTGGTTCGTGTTTACATAAGATGTTTTCTTGGTGAAGAAACTAGTTATTTAAATCAGACATCGAGTTACTGCGGCTTTACCATGATTTATGTCTTCTAGTCAGTCTAGAAAGTTCGAATAAAGATCTGAAATTTTGATGAATGTCGAGGTAAAAATATGTGACACTTTATTGACGCTCGTGAGATTAAAAAATAATTCGTATAAATTTTGTAAATGATTCTTTTTTTATTATTGAAAATAAAAAATTTCTAAAATTTCCTCTTTTCTCAATGATAATAATTTCAGATATTAGAAATTAATAATTTTGGCTAATAATATCTTTGTAACTAATGAATATTTTTATACAGCTATAATCAATTTTATGAACTTAATTTTATTAAGAAGTTTTGGATAGAAAATAAACAAAAAGGAATATTTTTAATTTTAGGTATATTATGCATTCTTTATGTTTAATTTGATTCTCTTCCCAATAAAAATTGATGCTTCTTCACGATTTTTTTTCAGTATTAAAATTATCAAACTTTTGGATGAAAAATGAAAAATTAAAACTTCTACCTTTTTTTCCATTAAATGATAAGATCGATTTCATTACATTCATTCATTTCATTCGACAATATAAGTTTAATATGCATAAGATAACTTGATTTCAAAATTGAATTGAAATTTCGCTTGAAATACTCGTATTACTCGTACAACGAAATAGAAATATTAAGACAAACATTATTTCGATGTCACGATCCAAGAATAAGTACTTTTTGTACGACTTCTTAATTTTAATCTTAATACAATTATAGCTAATGCGATTATAGAATCTATTCCATTTTATTATTTTTTTCCCTATCTTTCCTATTTTCTACCTCCATCAAATTATACAATTGCAATCATAATTAACAATGAAGTCGAATAAGTGGTCAGAGTATGTAATAAAAAAACTTTCTTATAAATATGAAACATAATTATCGAAAGAATCGCATATAGAGAAAAAATACATTTAAAAAAGGAAACGATATTTCTTAGAAAATAGAATATATATAGAATAATAACTTTTTTGTAAGTCAGTTTTAAAAAAAAATATTAAATTTAAAAATTTGTTGATCAGGTTAGGTTAGATTAAATAAACTTAGGCTACAATGTTTTCCAATATGTAGGTTGCTTTAAAAGGTGAATAAATTTTGAAAAGTTATTACTTACACAGAAAATTTGATGCACAATGGAAAATTGAATTCTTCTTCAAGTAAATGGGGAAAGATTCCATATTTATCTAGAGTTCTCTGATTCATTTCTTTAATAAATCTCTGTAAAGAAATTATAAAAATTATATAACGTTTAAATGAATAGAAATTTGTTTTTTTTAAATTTTAAAATTTTTTCATACGTGTAAAAGACTCGTATCATTTTTCTTCTATTTATTGGAGGATTTGATTTTTCAGAAAATTTCTTTGAAGACAGAAAATTGGATGAATTAGTTATCTTGCAAAAACTAATTGGAGAAAATTTATGAAATGAAAATTATCGAATCTGCCGAATAGGTAATGGGAAAATTACTTAAAAAATTATGCATACATTATTCAATAAAATGATAATAACGCATATCTAAATGATAATCTTATATATATAGATAAAATAATAATTATATAAATGAACTGTACAATTTTCCACAAATTTCAACAAGAATATTGCGAATAATCAAATATATGATCGAAACAAGATTGATTGACTTTTGAAATAATTTGTGTAATTATGATTCTCCATAGATAAAAATGGAGATTGATTATTCGAAATTTCGAAGCTCTTCAAAATTAAAAAAAAAAAGATTCGAATTCTCGTTTCCAATTTGAAATCCAAATAAATAATAAAATTAAATAAAAATATAAACAATCGAATTTATGATTGGAAACATTTGAAATTATCGATAAATTGATCAATTATTTGTTAATTTCAATTTCTCGAAGATAAATATAAATACTTTGAAATTTTAAAAATATAATAAGAATGTTAGGCTCGACAAAATTTCAAATAAAAATTTTAAAATAATTTGAATTTTTCGTATAGGTACTTTCTACCACGAACAGAACTATCGTAAAATAAATAACAACTATTCCTTAGAAAAAGAATAAAAAGTATGTAAGAATGGCAAGAAATTCGAATCATTTAGATATGCATTCGATTCGAAATTTCGAAGTTAAAGTGCATCGCTGTTTCTCTCTCTCGTCCCCTTATCAGCCCTGCCCTTCCTTAGAAAGATTCTCACGATGCTCCTGACCATTTCCAAGATAACAAAACGTCAAGTTATTTTCCATTCCAACTTTTGCATCTCTCAAAAGATAAAACGTTAAATAGATATTACGTATCGATAATTCTTACCTTTAATTTCTGAAAAAAAATTAAAGTAGCTGTCCGATATATTTTCCTGTCGTCCATTTTACACATTGATTTTACATTCTTGATACACAATTTAGAAGTTTTAGAAGAGACGATCGTTTTGTCACGTTCGCACGAAAATTCGATGGAAAAATGGCACGATAAATTCTATCGGGTAATTTGTAACGATAGTATGGCGGGCAACGAATCTCTCGATGTAATTACGAAGGTCGGTGTAGCCGAGTTGGAGTGGGCGTAAAAGGGGTTCCGTGTAAAGCGTGGGCCGTAATCATCCGAAGAATGAGTTAGGTAACTGAAGAGAAATCCGCACGTAAGCCTCGCGAGTAAAGAAACGCGATGAATTGCAACAACTCGTCATCTTTTTTCCTTAACGATTGTAATAGCGAACAGAACCTTTTCTCTTCGAATCATCGAGTCGAATATATTTTTTGATCTCTTCCTTTTGTCGCATCGTGTATAATATAATATATCGTGTATTTTCGACAATGAGTCGAACAAATTTTTGTTTTATCGCGATCTAATATATAAATTTATATCTCGTATGTATAGTGATCATTTGGATGATCGAATCAACTTTTTTTTTTTTTTTTTTTTTTTTTGGTCCAATATATGACAATTCTTGTTTTATCTAATATATCTATATATCGTGTATTTTGATCGTTTGATACATAATTTAATCGAACAAATTTTTGTTTTATCTGTATCATGTATTCTGATCATTCGAACAAATTTTTTTAAAAATATTTTCCCATTTTTTTTTCTTTTTTTTTTTTTTTTTCATTTGTTCTGATCTTTCGAACAAATTTTTTTAAAAATATTTTCCCATTTTTTTTTTTTTTTTTTTTTTTTTTTCGTTTTATTGCTACGTAGATATATATACATATCCTGTATTTCGATCGTAATTTACAGAGATCGATCGAAAGATGTGACTTTGAAATTTTTCGTCACAAATCTCGAAACTCTCGAGATTCAAAATTTTTTTAAAAAGTATAAATAATAAAAATGCACAACAATGTACAAGACAATAAATATATTCGTTACAGGTAAATTTTCTTTGATATTGTGCATGGTTATATTGGATATTAGATTCTTCTTTGAGCTTCGCTCTTGAAAGAAGTTTAAAAACGTACCTATTTCGTATTACTTGGATGTCATTATGTTCCTTTCATGCTTTTAAAACAAAGTGAATCAGCGCGTCATACAGCTACTCTTTTTTTTTTTTTACAATAATATAAATTATACTCGAAAAAAAAGAACGTGTGACGTGAAAATATCCTCTTTGTTATCAAATTTTTAATTTAAAAAACCATTCCGAATTTTCTCTTCTCGAGCAATTTATAAATTTTTGCATTAAAAAAAAAAATTTCTGCAAATCTTCTGAAAAAAAAATTGAATAAATATATTGATAAAATTAAATTGTTTTATAAATTTCTTTGAAAATAATTGCAGAAGTTAATAATTTTTAGATTAAGCTCGAAAAAATTTCTCAAAGGAGAAATATAAAAGAGAAAGTAAAAAACAAGAAAAATCATGTATTTTTAATTAATTTTACTTTTGTATCTCTTATGTATTGTTTTGGTTAAATTTTTGCCGATTATATAAATTGCGTAATTGTAATACGAAAATGATTAAAAGATTTCTGGTGTAAAAAAAAAAATAAAAAAAGTTTCCATCGATTCTGAAAAATTGATAATTTTTAATCAAAAGACTTTTTCCAAATTGTGCAAATTAAACATAATAAAATTAATTTATGCAAAATAAGATTATATATAAATGGTAAAATTTTCAAATCTTTTTGTTTAAACTAATTCCTTTTTTTAGTTTAATTTCCAAAGAAGATAGTTAGATTAGAAAGAGAGAAATTCTAGAGTTTTTTCGCTTATACTCTGTACAGAGAGAGAATTGACCGATAAAAATCATCGAGTTTGAATATACCTGCTGGTATTACTGGAAAGTAGAAGAGGAAACTTTTTTCGAATAAAAGTTATTCGAGCTTCGTATCTCGCTAATGACTTTGCAAACAAAGAAAATCGTTATAAGGGAAAAGTTATTTATGAGAATTATTAATCTAGAATTAAAAGATTTTTAATTCTCAAACGTTCAACCTTTATTATTAATTTAAATCGGTAATCGCTTCACGCTTTTTCATCGTATTGTACTTGTCCCAAATAATATTCTAGAAAATGTTGGATTGGCGAACAGAAACTTTTACAAGTAAAATAATACTACTGAGTGTACAAGCAAGATTCTTAATATTATAATAAAAAATTATAAAAAAAAATCTTTGCTCCATCTTTATATAATCGTGAAAATACAAAAGATACGAGATCCTTCACTTTCGATATATTTTAGTTTGCTTTAAATACGTTACGTTTCCGAAAGAATTCTTCCATCTAATCTCGATAATTTCGAGCATATTCATGTCGACGAAATCGTAATACCTAATCATCAAAATCTTTGGAAGAAAAAGATGAAAATCAAAGTGCATGCGACTA